TTTGTATATCAATTGCAATCTTCAAATTGTTCCCAAATTTTTTTGCTCGAAACTGAATGAACAATGTTTCTGATTTTTGGAGATATTTTTTTAAATGGCTGGAACTTTCGCTAAACGATTTTTGAATAAAAGTTTTCATCTGAAAACAATGTAAAATAGACATGATTCAATTTGGAATAGATACCTGTGGCCCGACGTAGAAAACCAGTTTTCCTAAATTAGATAGATTTTGAAAATTTTTCCTGTAATCAACCACATAACGTACACCTATCAGTACCATTAGGTTTTGAAATTATTTTCCAATTTTTCTGCCCAAAACTATCCAATTTATGGAGGTATCTTTTTAAAGTGGTTCAACGTACAGAATTTTTCTCTTTCATGTCTGATTATCGATTGGTGACCTAATTGCAATAATTATTATTATCGCAAACGTGAGATAATAACATACGCGGGACATCATCTTTCCAGCAGATATTAACTACCAATCACTTAAATACTGATCACTTATAATAGTTATTAAATAGTTATCAAATTCAACACGAAAAAGGAAGGCTGACAATGAGATATCCATCCACCCTTCCCAATCGGAAACAGCCCGACGAACCAAGGTAAATTTCTTTTCTCTCGAGAAAGAGAATCCGGTGTGAATCGATTTAATAACTTTTCCAGGAGGTTCGTCGTAATCGTTAATCGGCCGATTTGTTACCGCATTAAGATGTTAAATCGTTACACGAACGCGAGAGAGATATTGGCCCCGAAGATCTCTCTCTCTCTCTCTGAATGAAAACTTGAACACGAACACTGGCAGACAGAGGCAATTCGTGAATAGTCTTGATTCGATTTTAAAGCGATATTCCATCTTGCGCCGGAAATGATGTAAGACGGCATTCGAGCGGAAATGGAGAGAGCGTCTTGGACTGAACGAACGAACGTTTGTACGGATGTCCGATTCCTGTCATTTCCGGTCCAACGTTTTGCCAAGTCATTTAATAATTTTAGACCGACACCTATAAAGCAACATCGTAACAGCCGAGAGAAAGCACGCGGATATCTTTTCGTTTTTTGGGGGAAAATTTGATAGAAATCTGATGAAAATTTCTATCTCTCTTGTTTTGTTAATATTTTAATTTTGTAATTTTTTTTTTTTGTTTTTGTGAACAATTAGACAAGCGTTCGGGAGTAAATTTACATCGAGGGATCAATTTTCTTTAAATTTAAATTAATGAATTCTTACGTGTTATTATATAGTAAATGACAATTATTCTCATCACCTTTTTGTAGTTGCCGATTTCGAATGATTTGTGTCTTGTCATTGTTTCAAGTTAGAATGTTAATTAATTAAGTTTAATTGTTATTATCAATTGTTCAAAGTCGACAATTGTACAATTGGAGGCGTATGTCATTCGTTTTATATCAGAAAATACTCAGAAAATTTTCATTGAATTTTCAGAAGAGTCTGTTGAAAAATTTGAGTTATACATACATAACAAACATGATAGGAAGTCTGGAAACACAGATAACAAAATTGATCATTGGTAAGAAAAAATTTAATTACGTTATGTTTATAATTGACGATGTAATTTGTTACAACTATAGATCTCTGATGTTATAAAGTTTCAAATGAAATATTGATAATGGAATATCTAATCCTAGATTTTGCAGGTGATGATATTTATGAATGAGAAAGATGAAATAATCTAGAATTACAAATTAACTTTTAAGTAAATGAAATTATAAACCGATTAGTAGATTATTATTTGAATGTTGTATAGAGTTAAAAAATCACGTGAACTCACCCATTGCATCTTGTCTCATACCAGTAACTGCAGACATATTCGACGCTGAATGTGACATAGAAAATGGTTGGGTCATACTTGGATAGGACGTCGTACCCATCTACATATAAACATAAATTTTTAATAGATATAAATTATCTACTGATTACACAAAGATAATACGACACAACGTTTCATGCTATATCGTTTAAAAATGTAGAATAATAATTTTTGTTTGGCGCAACTTTGAGCATTAATGGATTAAAACGTGAGTTGTTTTTAATTGATTATTATCTTAACACTAGGAACACCAGTTGACATAAATAAATCAAACGAATAAATAAAATCAAATTTGTTACTACAGAATTTGGCATTTCAAATTAATGTTGAAAATTTGTTGTTGAAGAGTTATTTTGCAAAAATCGAAACTCGTTGTTGCAGAGTAGTGTTCTAGATTAATACGAAGCATAGGAAACACAAATGGAAAATCTCTTAAGATTGGTCAAACTCAAAGAGTGATAATAGTTTAGGTTAATACATTGTTTCATTCTCCTTGTCGTTAGAAGCTAGTTGATAAGTCAAAATATCATTCTCACAAAAATGATATTTTATGCCAATAGCGCAGGAATTGCGAGAACAGAAAATTTGTCGGTAAAGGGTTCGCTCTGCAAAAGTCAAGATCTCGTTATTACAGGATAGTATACTAGATTGGATTGCCAGTAGAAAAGACAACGGACGAGGGAAACGTCAAAGGGAGAGCATCGGCGAATAATTTTATCGGCAGTATTACAAACATGACTTCGAGGATCGATTAAGGGGATCTCGAAGCTTTCTCTTTTTTTTTTTTT